TAACACTTTTGTTGTGAGCTGAGCCTATAGACTTAGGTTGGACTCTTGAGAAAGCTCTAGTTCAGAGCAATAAGATAGAGCAGTCCTTTTATCTCCTGGGAGTCTTTGTGCCACCATGGGTGGGGAGACAAAAGGAGTGTTATTTATTTATTTTTAGGGGCTTGTACAACTCTTAACACACTGAAACAATAGTAATAAAACTTTAGCTTTGTTTGTATGCACAAAATGGAAGCAAAAAAAATTTTCCCTAATCTTACCACACAGAGAGAGAAATTGTTTTGATAAATTGTCACATTATTTCCGAACATATTTTTGTCTTTTTCCACTTTTACATAGGACCATTTGCCATTGTATCAGTTCTGATTTATGTCAACACAGGTGTGTCAGAGTAGGACTGTATTCCATGGAGGTTTCTCTTGTTATTATGATTTCCTTTTGTTACAAATACACACGACAGAATATACTTCAATTCGGCAATCCCGCTACATAAATTCATTGACATTGGTTTGGGTCTTTTGGTTGGCCTCCAGCCTCACCCTTCTTTTCCGAATCGCTCCTTTCCCATTCACGAAGGCACCGTTCCCAAGGTTTCCTGCCAAACTTTTAAGTTACTTTTATCAGTGTGATCCAATTAGCTCTTAAAAGAGCACACTGTTTAAAGTCGTCATTGTGTGCTAGCAAAGCTCAACTGCTTGCTTTAAGATTTAAGGGAAGATTTTTGTATTAAATTTAAAGATAAGCAGGGCAACATTTTGGGGGGTTTGTTCAGCCTTCATTGCTCAAGAAAGTCTGGACTCCATGAGAATTTGCCATTGTGTCCCCTCCACTCCCCCTCCAACTGATTCTTTTATAGAATCTTTGGTCAAAATGTTGAAGCCAATCACCCTTCATTTCTCCTAGTCTCATGGCAGAGGAGGCAGTGATTCCTGGAGGCCGTTGGCCACAGATTCCATGTTCTTTTCCTGGTTCTCCTCTTCTGCTGCTCCAGATGATTGGAGACCAACCGTATCTTGG